TTCAAGGTCTGTCAATTTATCTGCCTTCAATTTTAGGAAATCAAAGACCTCTGTCAACACACCAGGCTCAAACTTAACACATTGCATCCTTCTTTGCAGTGTCCTTATTCCTGGAAGGGGAATCTTCAATTCCTGCAGAGTTTTGTAACCCGTTGGTCCGTTCGCAAAGCGAATTTTTAAAGCCTTCTTAATTGTCTCATTGCTCCATTTCATTCCCTTTGTGGTGAGTCTGCCTAATGCCTTCAGTTGGTCTTTTGAAAACGTTTTCTTATATTTCTTGTCCCTAATTTTCATTGTTTTCTTGAGAGCTGCATTTTCCTTCCTGATTTTTCTTAGTGCAGCCTTTGCTTTTTTGGTGATTCATTCTTGGCTCTTTAATTTTCTCTTTAATTGTTGTAATAGATCTGTTTGAATGGCTGCTGGTTCCCTCGTATGCTGACTGGCTGCTGGTTCCCTCGTATGCTGACTGGCTGCTGGTTCCCTCGTATGCTGACTGGCTGCTGGCTGAGTGGGTGGTGTCCGCCCTCCCTGTCTCTCCTCACTAGCCATGTCCTCTCTTTCTTCACCCTCACTTTCCTTTCTCTCAGTCTCCTCATCCCTTCTTCCCTCAATCTTTGAGACTAATGTAAGTAGAAGACATGGCACTGTAAATGTTCGAACATTTAAAATATTATACCACTTAAAAATAAGAAATATTACTTTTGTTACTAAGAGTTCATACTTATTATACCTGTGTCACCTTTCACACTATAGCTGTGATCATGAGCTATGGGCTTTGTAGATACAGGTCCCGGGGTGAATCGTGGTGCAGGGGCCCTTCTCTTTTTGACCACAGGGCGATGCACGAAGATGGTGGGTATAGCCTCTGCTCTCAGCCTAGTCTTGCCCTTTTTTGTCTTGACAAACTGGTCTGCATCAAAATTTGCCTGCGGAGTGACTTGAGGTTACTTCACACACAGAACAACTGTGTCTGAATCTTGTCTGCCCACATAAATATTCCATAGTGGTTGAATACACAGTATTAGGAAACACTTTATACTTACTGGACATGTTATACTCATTACATACTGTATATAAAATATGACCAAGAATGTGAGACAACTTTATAGAAATTCATATCACATCTGTTACTGATGCCATTTGTCATACTTTGTTAAACTCACAAATAATAAAGTTCCATAACTTCAGTTGGGAACAAAGACCACACCTTATCTCCCCAAGGCAATTTCCCATCCAATAGGTGTGCTGTGTGTGTATAACCCTTTCTCCTGTCTGTTTATCCCTCTTTCAGCACAAGAACCAGAGGGGGATTCAATGGAGCCTGAATACCTGCACTGAGACCCTCACCCTGCACCCTGAGTCTCAACTCTGTGTTTTTCAAGCCTTTCCCTGTTTTTTTGTATTAAACAAAACATTAAGCTTTCCCAATGGTGTGGTTTTCGTTTTGTGAAAAAGTGCAAATGCAGTGTTTGTATATAATTACCTCACATATTTTGTTGCTGTTGGTCGTGAAATTGCTCCTGCTGACTTGAGCCAGCCATTTTTTCCTCCGCTCTGTGTCAGTGGGGAAGCCGTACATTCGTACTCCTTTCTCTGAGCGATTTGAGCATCCCCAGGCAGCACAGCAAACCATGGTGGCGACTAGGAGGCAGCACAGCAAACCAGGACAACACGGAGGAAAAGGCACAGACAAACTGCATGATATGCTATTCAATGTTTATTGAATTCCATGTATTTGCAATGGATGTTCCTAAAACAACACATTTAACATCATCATCATCATGCTGCTGCTGCTAGTCCTTTGATAGTCACCTGTCGGTCTCCTGTCCTTTCTGAAAGCCATAAAGATGACATTAGTCATTTAGATAACTTGTGTCCTCAATTACCATGGGATTACTGAAACTACCATGAATTTAAGAAAATGGTAGACATTAATCTAATCTGAATTTTAAAGCATTACTTTAGATCCCCTCCCTCTAAATATATCAATAAACATTAGAAAGTGATGCTCCTGACTACCATACAAGTTTAAGAAGATAATATTGGTTTTAAAGAATTCAAAGCTATAAATAAACAGCAACAGGCTCTTTAACCAAGGCACTGTTAGCCTACCATGTAAACTAGTTGTTCACACTAATCCTAATATTATCACTTAATATTAGCAAATTCTATTTTATTTTTTAAAACATATTGATGTAAATACATACACATATCGATTTGTTGTATAAATATTGCAAATCAAAACCTTTATTCACTAATAATTACCAAAAATCGTAGTTCTATCTCCTGTTATCAGTGCATTCACATTGCCCGCCATGAACTTCCGGGGAACGATCCTCGTCTACATGAACCACGTGACGATAACCGTTTTTGGACTTCCGTTGTCGTAACTCTTCTATTATACGGCTCTGGCCCACATGAGACTTTGAAATTTCGCGGGACAAAGACGCCCGCAGCCTTGAGAGCGAGGCGAGGCGAGTTGGCGCAGTTGCTCTCCACGGGCTGCGGAAGCGAAATGCTTGATGGGAAACGGCTCGCTGGTATCTCGAGCTGAGCGCTCATTGGTGGTTTTTACCACGTGCTGCTGATGAAACTCTCCAATTGGCTGGCAAAAGTTTGTTGTTGTTTTGTGTCAGTTTTATGTCGCCACATCCATTCCCATTTTTCATCATTGTTCCACAATGTTTATCATCATGAAATTAATATCTATATATTTTATACTATACTTGCACTGCTTACCGTTTTCATACTTTATATATCTTAGCATATTCATACACACTGTTCATACTGCTCTCAGGCTGCTGTGTATATCTAGTGTATTCATACCCCTCACTGTTTATTCATCATTCAATTCATTCTATATTTTATTCTGTAGATTGTGTACATTACTTTTCACTTTACTGCTTGTTGCACCTGGTTAGAAGCTAAACTGCATTTCGTTGTCTCAGTACCTGTAATATGTGCAATAACAATAAAGTTGAATCTAATCTTGAGCAGGAAGAAATGTATTTACTTAGTACATATCTTACATTAACGATTAAACACATGTGTGCATTCTTTATAAATGCAAACCGAGTCAAGCCGACTCCGGAGGTGGCGGTATGCACCTCAAAGTTGTTTGCAATCCGCCAAAAAACCGAGAGAAGAAGAAGACGAAGCCGACTCCGAGCTGTCCGACTTCAGGCAAGCTTTTTGAGACCTCCCCCGGCTGCGATCGGCTACTCTCGTCTACTTTCGAGGCGAGCCGCAACGCGTCTCAAACAAGCCTACTTTGTCCGTGTTTGGCTCTCTCGCCGCACAGTGAAGCGTTCCCGCATTGACGTCACTTCCGGCTTCCCCCAAAATTTCAAAATGAGTCGAAGGAATTTCCCCGCGATGTTCGAAATTATTGATATTTAACGGAACGGTATCGCTTTTTCTTTTTTAAACTGACGGTTCAGGATGACTAGTAGCCAAATATTTCATTGCACAACAGTTGTTGGGATGCTGTCACAGGCTCTTTAAAGGTCCCATGTCATGCTTTTCCGGTTATTACCCGTCCCCTTGTGTTATGAAGGTTTTTCTGCATGTAAACGGTCTGCAGAGTCAAAAACCCTCAAAGTACACCCTGTAGCGAGTACAACTCTAACACAGAAAATACCTGTCTATGCTGCCCCAGAACGCCTCGTTGGAGATTTCTCTTTTTCCATTTTTTTCTAATGTCCAAATGGACCAATCCGTGGAGCCGTTACGTCCGTGGAGCCGACACACACACTCAATCTTTTCTCAGCTGCAGCTCCGCCGATTTCTCCTCCCTGAGACGGCAAGTCTGTGCGTGAGCACACACACAAACTCCCAGCCAGGCTGCGGGTGTGTGTGTGAGCACACACACAAACTCCCAGCCAGGCTGCGGGTGTGTGTGTGGCTGGTTTCGGGCTGGGTTTCGCTGTGTCTCGCTGTCTCGCAGACGGCCACTGGGCTCACCGGCAGGAGCTCCAACAAGCCGTGTAGGACAGAGAGTGAATACACATAGGCTACTATACAGAGATGCTGTTTGAGAAACCAATGTGAGTTTGGAAAATTGCACAATGTAAATCTATTCTAGTAGACCTCAACAATGGAATTATGATCAGTAGAAATGGCCATGACATGGGACCTTTAAGTAACATTTTGAAATCAGGACTTTTACATTTAGTCGAGAATTTTATGACCATAGCAGGGGTAGACATTAATGGCTCGTTTCCACTGCAGCGCGTAGCACGGTTTAAGCGTGCCAAGCCTGGCCCGTTTTTGGTTGCGTTTCCACTAGGGGTAGTACCGGCTAACGGGTACTGTGTCACAGTTTTTCTCGCTCTCCAAAATCCAGGTTCTTTCCGGGCCAACAACCTGGCTGAATATGCTAAACTAGTGAGAGAATCGCTGGCAAGGGGGCTACAACTACAACAAAATGAATATATTTTACCGTGATTTAATTGTAATACACGTTTCAAAATGATGCCGAAGTAACAACATACTGATACCGGTTAGTAAAAACCATGAATTAATGCTTTGACAAGTCTGCAGACAGACGGCAGGCGAAAAACCTTTTAAAATGCGTGTTTTCTAAATGGAGCTTGGCTAAGCTAACGTTATATATGCTCCGACCGTCCACACTCACAACAACGGCCTACAGACATAAATAAACCAGCGACTGTATTCGCCATGACACAGGCAGTCTGTGGTTTGTACTTGTTTAACTTTTGTTTAGTTTCTGAACAGATATGAGGAGCTGTGAGCTCTGAGTGCTAAGAGCTAACGGCTGGTTATGTGGTTCGCATTGAAGATGACGTCACGGCTCAGCCTACACTGCGTTACTATAGTTACTGCCCCAGCTACTAAACTGTAATGGAAACGCAGCATAAAGTGAGCCTGGCCTATCAAGGCCTAACTATACCATACTAAGCCGTGCGAGGCCCTGCAGTGGAAATGCGCCATAACAGTGCTTCCGGGCCAGCGGGCCATTTATAATGTCTAGCCCTGCATAGTATTTGTACTTTTACTTAAGTAAAGAGTCTGAGACCAGAACCTTTCCAATAGTGAAATCTTGTCCCATGTGCAAAATCAGTTTGTAGAAATGTCATGAAAGTCAGACCAAAATGTCATGGTAATCCATCCAAAAGTATTCAGGTAATTTCACTAAAAGCCAAAAATGATCACTCCTTTTAGGGTTCATCCTGCGTGATTGTCATGTAATTGTTGTGAATGCACTTCATATCACTCAACACCTGGCATCAAATCTCAAATATATCTTTTAAAGTCAGTAGGACACAATCATTTACTGTTTAAAAGGTGATCTCTGAGACACCGCAGTCCGGACCGAGGTGGTGTACCGACCGACCGACCGACGGCTGTATCGTTTATCATTAGAGCTGAGACTAAGATTCTGTTTGTTCTGGGGCCAAGGAACAGTTTAACATGAACCTATAAATCCCACCGTTGCTGTTAGACGGCAGACAAACAATATCTTCATTCATGGTTAGAACATGCCCTCCGACCTTTCCTCATAACCATGATTTCCATCAACAAACTTCTCTGCTTTTGCAAATTAACAGGTATGAAAGATGTTACTACACATGTATGAGTGACATTCTTACATTTATTTTTTACAATATTTCCCCCTAACATCAGTAATGGGCCAGTATCAGCTGATAACATGTGATCATCAATAGATCATTGTGGTTTTTAAATACCAATATGCAATGATAGATACATTCATGTCTATTCACATGAAATCAATATATATAACAGAAATACCTCTTTAAGTGCTAAAATGGTGGGTTGGTCATATCCCTCCTCAGTTGGGATTGATCAGATGTCAGATACGGATGTGTTTTTGCTCTCTGTGTATGCCGACTCATAAATTCTTTTAAGCCCTCTAAAGCCCTGGTGTCCTCCTCCACTATAAGGTCGTATCTATCCGTCATGTCCATCAGACGTAGGAGCGTGAGACTGAAAGCTCTAAGCCCTGTTTGCAGTGATGCTGTGTTCACATGCAGAGCCACCCTCTGAGACACAGCAGGCAGGTTCTGCTGCTTCAGGACCAGCGTGACATACGGGAACAGCCTCTCTACTGTGGACACAAACACCTGGAAGACAAAGGACCTCGTTACCAAAGATGAACCTGAATGTTGGGAATTTTGTGGAACACAAACATGATTACAACACTTGAACAACAGCGTGATGTTCCTGCAAGGAGTTTTTTTACTGGTTATGAAACAGTCTCAATTTAATACTAACTCCTTTGTGACGTTCATCAGCAAATTAGACCATTAACAAGAAGCTGTTACAAAGCTAGATAACGCTTTGGGTAACTATAGGGAATTGGAACCGCGGTGCATTCTCGGGCGTAGCGGCCATCTGTGGAGGATAGTGTCTATATCAACAGCAGCAGCTACCAACTTATATCAGCGTTTCTTGGTCATCTGTGAGCGGTTTTGCACCTGAAATCAATAAATTGCCTGTAAAAAGAGAAGCTCTGGGCAGAAACAGAGGAGTGTTATTTAAAGGTCACCTATTATGCAAAATGCACTTTTTGATGTCTTTTATACAAATATGTGTCCCTGGTGCAGGAGACTCACAAAGTGTCAGAAAACAAAACCCTCTCTCTTTTCCTCCGAACCCACATCTCTAAAAACGTGGGTACAACGGAGCTGATCCAGATTTGCTGCAGACTTGACGTCATATCAGAAATGCGTGAGGTGTTTTGGAAGTAATATGGTCTGTGTTTACGTTAGCAAGCATCGCTAACACTCAGGGCTAAAGCTGTACTGGAGAGAATATGTGTAAAAAAGCCGGATATAAAAGGTCCTCACCTTGTGGTAAATTAGCGAGAGAAAAAGCGTTTGAGCTCCAAACTGTTTCAGAAATAATGCTTGATGTGGTTTGGAACATGATATGGAGTTTAATCACGGCAGCATTTTGCTGAGTTTCTGCTGGTAGACAGCCTTCTCTTCACAGAGCTCACTGCTTGCATGCGGATTAGTGATGTGTCGATTCTTTTGAACGGCTCTTAGGTACGAACGAGGGGAACCGAGTCGTACTTGGTGAGAGCCGTTCTTTTTATCGTTCAATCGTTGGTCCGCACTCACTGCCTGCCAAAATCCACTCGCCTTTTAAAAAGCTTGATTTTGTTCCCCACACGTATTCTGTGAAGACCCGCCCCTACTCTGATTGGTAGGTTTCAGCACGAGAAGTGAGATGGGGTGGGTCTTAACGGAATACGCGAGAGAGAGAAGTCATAACAAGTGGTACAGGACAAACAGACAACGTGTTTTTCCAATGGAAAATGAGCCAAACGCGAAAACGCAACAGCATTTGGATGCACTTCAACCAAAACCCAGGCAGTGATAATGCACACCATTTGTAAAGGAAAAATATCCTTTAAAGCAGGGTCAACAAATAATCTCCATCACCACTTAAAAACACAGTATCTAATATTAAGAGATGCGTGAATTTCATTCAAGGCAAGGCAACTTTATTTACTTAACACGTACAGAGGGTAAATTCAAAGTACATTCACTGACATGAATGACATGGATATGGCACCACCTTGTGTCACGTTTACAATGCAGATTATTGACATTAGGTCTGGCAATACAGTCAATCATTATCCTGGTGATTATTTCGTAGATAAACCTAGTAACCCCGCCCCCTCTAAAGAAAACGGCTCTTTTGAACGGCTCTTTGAAAGGAACGGAGCCATAAGATCCGGCTCCCTTCAAAGAGCCATAATTCCCATCACTAATGCGGATGCTCCAATGGGGCGTGGCCAGCAGCAGCTCGGTTACATTTAAAGTGCCAGACCCAGAATCAGCACTTTAGTAACGGCTGAAATAGAGGGGTATGAGGCATGCTACAATGGGTGATCTGTTTGGTATTTTGAGAAAAACACTTCAGAGACATATTTTGTATACATATGGCCCTATAATATATTACATGTCAGACGCTTTTATCTAAAGCGACTTACATACTCAATACTGTGGACAATACAGGAGCAATTTGGGGTGAAGTGTCTTGCCCAGGGACACAACGGCATGCTGACTGCAGTGGGGTTTGAACCTGTAACCATCTGATCCCCAGACCAAGGCTCTATCCACTGAGCCACACGCCTCCATTGTTCAAATATATTATAATATGGGAGTTTAAAAAATAAAAAAAGTTAGGCAGATCAAGATCTTAATGACACTAGACTAGACAGTGGTGCTCATGGGAAATGCAGTCTTAATTCAAGGATAACACTACCACTTTCTTCCACAGGGACGCCAAATATGTAGTAGTTGCTTTAACTACAGTATGATACATTAAGGACCCTTCCTTCCCCTGACACATACGTTTTAATATATTGGCCTTTTCTTATGATCTTTATATATGTTCGACGTTTCTATAGTGTTTCAATTTCAGTTTCGCAAAAAGCAGCTCAAAGTGCTTTTTTCTAAACAATAGAGAATACAAAATATGTAAACAAAAAATATATAAGCATGAAATGAAAACAACTCTGTGGTAATAAATCAATACCAACTGAAGTCAAGACACCGAATACCTGGTTGTGATCTGGGCTGAGTGGACCCTCCCTGCTGACCCACACAGGCCTGTACAGCTTCTCCTGGCTGTAAGCCGAGTGCAGCCGTGTGAGAGAAGCTTCCAGAAGCTGCTGAGAGTGGATTCGCAGGTAAACACCCCAGGGTGCCTCAGCTCTCTGGCCCAGCAGCTCCAGGAGGTCCTGCAAACACACAAGCACACACATTAGATTTAAAATTCATCATTATTCCACTACTTTTATGGCCCATTCCTTGCCTAGGGAGATTCAGAAACACAAGGTGGATAAAAGCAATTAGACATTACCAAAACAATCATGTTTTTCTTTATTTGCAATTTATACTGTAGAAAGGAGCACAAAGTGGTGTTCTCTAAAAATCAAATGTACTAAAGGCGGCCAACTTTGAGCAGTCTCATTAAGCCACTTGTTAGCAAACACTATTTTTATGACACTAGAAGCTTCAGGCATCACCAGATGGTATTTAGTATATACCGATACAACAAAATGTAAAAATATCAACTTCTGTTAACCACTTTGAAATGAGGGAACTCAAAGTGGTAAAATGCTAACTAATTACTGGAGCTTAGGACTCATTTCCGCAAAACTAAGAATTTCTTTAAATATATAAATATACCTCCAGTGTCAGGGCTTCCGAGCTCTTTCCAGAACCTTCCACCAGAGGGACTCCGGGTCGATTACTGTCAGAGACCACCTGAACCACCAACATACCCCCATCACCACCTGAAACACACACATGGTATAAACAGGACAGTAAATATGAACAGGGTTCGAGATTCAGTAGTTCTATGATTCAAAACACCATCTGTGTCCACATGTTAAAATGTTCATCCACACACTGAAAATACGTTATAAGTCAGTTCAAACTTTACAACTAGAATAACTAACCTCTATAGTGTAAATCACATGACACAATTATACCATAAAGATTTAATACAACAAATTGTGTTTTATTCATTTAAAGGAATCTGATATTTGAAATCCCTACTTCTCACACCATGATCAGATTATTAGATAAGATCAATTGGGTCTGATTAAAACTTTTTTGACCCCTCACTGGGGATATTATGTAGTTATAGCCGCTCAAGAGAAAAATATGACAATAACTGATTAAAGGTAGGGTAGGTAAGAATGGAGAAACCAGCTCGAGTGCGCTAGAATTTGAAAGTACACAACCGGGCAAAATCTGAGAAATCACAGAGCCCCTCCTCCAACACACACGAACGCGCACATGACCAATGAGGGCACGAGATAAGTTTGTGCACAGATGGAAGGCTGACAGGCAGGTAGGCCGTCCAGTTATCTGCCCGGTCTAGCTTTTTACAGTGCCACGACTTCCACAGATGAAATATTTGTATATATTTATTGTCAAAGCATTTAATTTATTCATTGCTATCGGGACGTTAAGAGCATTCCGTGGAATATAACAAAAAGTGTTTCTGAAGTGAATTACCTACCCCACCTTTAAGGGATAAATACAATTCTGCCTCTCATTCTTCCACCTCATAGCTCAACTAATCTCATTTCCTCCAAAGTCAAACTTGGAAAATGTATTGATTGGTTCTGGAGTTTAAAACCACTTCACAAGATTTCATAAGATGGTAGTGGGATTTCTTTAATGGGAAGTTTTTTATTGAGCAGTGCTCACAAGTGTCCTGTTTACCTGCATTACCAGACTGTCAATCAAGATAGACCACTCCCCTATGAAGCTTATAAAAGGTTTCCTTCAGCCTGTGCCCCTTCTTTCAGAGACTGCAGGCCCAACAAAGGAAACCACGGCGAGTCTGCACATGGACTTCACACTTGTTTGTACTTTAAACAATTGATGTGATTGTCTCTTATTTGTGACGATAGATTCCTATTGATTTATCCCATATTGTGAAGGGGGGTGCAGTTTAATAGGCGTGTAACACAGTGGACTAGTACGTTAGTGTTCGGATTAGGGGAACAGGTTCAAACCCCACTGCAGTCAGCATGTCGTTGTGTCCCTGAGAAACTTCACCCCAAATTGCTCTTGTGGGGATTGCCCACAGTATTGAGTATGTAAGTCGCTTTGGATAAAAGCGTCTAACAAGTCACATTTAATGTAATATTGTGAATGCATTAATGATTTAAGTAAATTTGACAGCGTTATGTAGAATCATTATTGTGTTGTGTTATATAAGACTTGTGTGCATTGCTTAGATTATTTTGTATAGAAACAAAATCCACATTTTGCCATCTACAATTCACCGTCCATCATCTAGACTTGAATAAAATGTTAAATGGCTTACGGATCCAGTGGTTAAATGTGAACTCCACCTGAGCTGTTCAGTGAACCACACCACCAACTATAGTTTTTTCAGAGTAACTGATGGCAGAGAAAATGCTTTGTTGTCAGTGCATCAACCAGTGAAAACAGAAAAGGATGAAAGTGAATGTGTTAATGTGGAAACACCATGTTTGTATCGACCTGAAAGTGTTTCCAGCAGGGAGGTCCGGTCAGTGACTCTGACCCAGCGGACGTCCAGGCTGCTGCGTCGTGGGGTCGTGGACAGGAAGTCACAGTTGTGATTTGGATACAGGAAGTCCATCAGGTCTCCTCCTGGATAGAATCTCCTAAGAAGTCCCTGCTGGCCTGGAACCACACGTCATATCTCAATAAGTGAACTGAAAGTTATTTCTAAAGAAAATAGTTTTTCACTTCTGACACACAAAACGGAAATAATGTACGATTGATCTTTATGAGCAATGACATGTAATAGCAATTTCTTTTTTGAAAAAATGTGAATAAAAAGATAAACTGTATACTGGTCCAATTGGTTAATTTTAAGTCTTAATATTCAAGTTAAGCCAAAACTGAAAAAGGCCAGCCAGCCAGCCAGCCAGCCAGCCAGCCAGCCAGCCAGCCAGCCAGCCAGCCAGCCAGCCAGCCAGCCAGCCAGCCAGCCAGCCAGCCAGCCAAGCCAGCCAGCCAGCCAGCCAGCCAGCCAGCCAGCCAGCCAGCCGCAGCCAGCCAGCCAGCCAGCAGCCAGCCAGCAGCCAGCCAGCCAGCCAGCCAGCCAGCCAGCAGCCAGCCAGCCAGCCAGCCAGCCAGCCAGCCAGCAGCCAGCCAGCCAGCCAGCCAGCCCAGCCAGCCAGCCAGCCAGCCAGCCAGCCAGCCAGCCAGCCAGCCAGCCAGCCAGCCAGCCAGCCAGCCAGCCAGCCAGCAGCAGCCAGCAGCCAGCCAGCCAGGCCAGCCAGCCAAGCCAGCCCAGCCAGCCCAGCCAGCCAGCCAGCCAGCCAGCCAGCCAGCCAGCCAGCCAGCCAGCCAGCCAGCCAGCCAGCCAGCCAGCCAGCCCGCCAGCCAGCCAGCCAGCCAGCCAGCCAGCCAGCCAGCCAGCCAGCCAGCCAGCCAGCCAGCCAGCCAGCCAGCCAGCCAAGCCAGCCAGCCAGCCAGCCAGCCAGCCAGCCAGCCAGCCAGCCAGCCAGCCAGCCAGCCAGCCAGCCAGCCAGCCAGCCAGCCAGCCAGCCAGCCAGCCAGCCAGCCAGCCAGCCAGCCAGCAGCCAGCCAGCCAGCCAGGCCACAGCCAGCCAGCCAGCCAGCCCAGCCAGCCAGCCAGCCAGCCAGCCAGCCAGCCAGCCAGCCAGCCAGCCAGCCAGCCAGCCAGCCAGCCAGCCAGCCAGCCAGCCAGCCAGCCAGCCAGCCAGCAGCCAGCCAGCCAGCCAGCCAGCCAGCCAGCCAGCCAGCCAGCCAGCCAGCCAGCCAGCCAGCCAGGCCAGCCAGCCAGCCAGCCAGCCAGCCAGCCAGCCAGCCAGCCAGCCCAGCAGCCAGCCAGCCAGCCAGCCAGCCAGCCAGCCAGCCAGCCAGGCCAGCCAGCCAGCCGCCAGCCAGCCAGCCAGCCAGCCAGCCAGCCAGCCAGCCAGCCAGCCAGCCAGCCAGCCAGCCAGCCAGCCAGCCAGCCAGCCAGCCAGCCAGCCAGCCAGCCAGCCAGCCAGCCAGCCAGCCAGCCAGCCAGCCAGCAGCCAGCCAGCCAGCAGCCAGCCAGCAGCCAGCAGCCAGCAGCCAGCCAGCAGCCAGCCAGCAGCCAGCCAGCCAGCCAGCCAGCAGCCAGCCAGCAGCCAGCCAGCCAGCCAGCCAGCCAGCCAGCCAGCCAGCCAGCAGCCAGCCAGCCAGCCAGCCAGCCAGCCAGCCAGCCAGCCAGCCAGCCAGCCAGCAGCCAGCCAGCAGCCAGCCAGCAGCCAGCCAGCCAGCCAGCCAGCAGCCAGCCAGCAGCCAGCCAGCCAGCCAGCCAGCCAGCAGCAGCCAGCCAGCCAGCAATTACATTGACTTTCATGCATTTCCTGGAGACTTATCCTAACCTTAGCCATAACCAACACATGCCTAACCCTAACCCTTAACCTTACCCTAATCCTAACCAAGTCTTCACCCTAAAATGAATGATTCCCCTCATGGGGACCTCCAATTTGTCCCCATAAGGGAGGCGAGTCCCCACATGTGACTATGTAAACAGATTTAGGTCCCCACAAGTATAGTAATGCTAGGCCACACCAGAGTCCTGCATCGGGTCGGGTACCCGCGGGAACCCGACGGGTGACCCGCAAAAAAGGTGATTCGCGGGTGGTATTTTTTCAAACGCTTTTTTCCGGGTTCGGTTCTGGGTAAAACAAAGATGATGGTCGCGGGTATTGCATAATAAATATATTAAAATAATGATAATTTAGTTTAATGTTTAAATCCTCAGACCTCTCCCCCGCGGGACCGCGCATAATCATAACCTCTGCAGCGCATCAATCTGCTTCTGAGCGCGCCACATTCGAAATGGCTGAGGTGAAGCTCTCTAGCGGAGAATACAGCATTTTCAATAACACTTCCTCAAGAGCGAAATCCAACGTCTGGGAGGCTTTTGGTTCCTAGATGGAGAAAATAACCAACATCCCACGCTTTTTGAGACAAATATGCAACTGCATGTGTTAATAATTGCACGTTTTCACTGCTCATATATAGGCTATGCGGGTTCGGGTCGGGTTGCGGATCTTGTGCCGACGGGTCGGGTCGGGTTGCGGAACTAATTGGCAATATGTGCGGGTAGCGGGGCGGGTTCGGTATTGCACGTCGCGGGAGCGGGTCTTGAAAATCAGACCCGTGCAGGACTCTGGGCCACACACACACACAAAATGTTTCATTCTTGGTCCCTAGGCTCCTGTTCCTAGTAACACAACCACATGTTGGTGTCTCACAGCTCCTTCTTACTTGCTGCCTGTCTGAATGCAGACAGAGTTGGTTCATAGATGTCGTAGTAGACTCTGGCAGGGTGGCTGTTCTCCCGGATGAACAGCAGGTCACTGATGTTTGGGTGGATGGAGCCCTGCCACAGCGTCAGACTGAACCTGGAAACACCAGAACACACTGTGTCATCAAGTGGGTTACCATTGTAACTGAACAAGAAAATATGAACAAAATCACAGTCACATTACTGATATTTAAAGTGTTATGGTTGCTGATGATCTTTTCTGTGTGGTCAGCACAACCTTTAAAATATGTTATGAACTGACGCGTGTTATAAACAAGTAGCCTACATAGTGAAAATGCAAACTGTGAATGATTCTGTGTGATTATGATGTGTTTATCACGTCGATGCCTGATCTGACAGACTGAGCAGTGAGTAATTCTTATTAATAAATGATTGATTTCCCCTCATTGTCATAATACAGATGGAAGGTGTCTGTGTTACCGTGACGACTGGCTGAGGAGCCAGCTGATGTGCTGCCAGCCGCCGCGACCCAACAGAGCATGGACAGGGAAGGTCACCTGAAGACACACATTATTTTACTGTACATTTTAAAACTCACATGGACTAGCTACCACATAATAGAGTTGTTGGAAAACATTGATAGGATTAAGGAACCAACATTGAGTTAGGGTTAGCCTCACGTCTCCTGCGTCTTGGTGTGTCAGGAGCATTAAGGCCCTGACATACCAGGCCGAAATCGTCCGTTTTCATTGGTCGGACGACGAAGCGTGCCCTGTTGCCCAAACTCAATTTGGTGTGTCCCGCACCGTCGGCCGTGACACGCCTTATTTGGCCTTTCATGGCTGCGTCGGCCACAGGCAGTCGGCCAAATAAATCACTCTGATCGCTTCCGCCTCTTGAGAGACTGTTGCTTGAGAATGTCTTCCACAAGCAACACTCCAATGGCTGATTTCGTACGTGCTCGGCTGAAAGCTTTGCGGTGTGTTCCAGTGCGACACATGGCCAAGACGCAGGAGAACACGGCGACGCAACAGTCGGCGTCGGCGAGTTCTCTGGTGACTGCTTGGTGTGTCAGGGCATTAACACACCAAGCCGATTTCGGCCGTCGATAGATGTCGGGCCGCCGATGAGCGTCGTGTCGCCCTACTCAGATTGGTGTGTCTTGGTGTGTCCCGCACCGTCATGTCTTTTCGGCCGTGCCGACACCTTCCGCCGCCGATTTGACATGTTGAATCGGAAGGCTGTGGCTAAAGGCCGTCGGCCAAATAAATCACTCTGATTGGCTGTTCAGCTAGCGAATCAGTGCATGAGAAGCGAAACGGAAGTGAGGGACCCAAACAAACTATTAAGAAGTCAAATCTGAGATTTCATTTAACTCCACCTCTCGACACAGGTTCGGGAAAGCCCCATGAGCTTCTCGCTGTAGAGTGAAAATGGAACGCACACGCTATTGTTCTTCTTCTCTCGGGTGTACCACGCAGTCTGTCTTCCGGTTGTTGCCTCTTTTGAATGACGAATACACACTACCGCCGCCTGCTGGTAAGGAGAGTTATTGCCACTCACGCATGCGCAATTCGTACGTGCTACTTGTCCGTCGGCTGAAGTCTTTGCGGTGTGTTCCAGTGCGAAACATGGCAAAAGACGTGAGGCGTGAAGACGTGAGGCGACGTGAGGCGACGTTCCGTCGGGAGGTGTTCTTTGGTGTTCTTTGGTGTCAGTTTGGTGTGTAAGGATCTTAAGGGACCTTACATCAACATATATATGTGTATGTGTATATACATATGTGAGTATATGGGTACATGTATTATTGTTATTATTCTTTATTTCCTTATCTATTAATTTTGTTTTAATTATCTTTTACATTACTGTATTTATACCTATATATGTATTTATTTACTTTACTATGTAGGACCGGGAGGGGGGGAAAGGGAAAAATATAGACTATATAAATGTATCTCATTGTGCCTGACTCAATAAAAAAAAAGATTAAAAAAAAAGAGGTAGGAGTAGCTAGAGAATGTTCTTGCGAATATTAGAAAAAAACAAAATAAGGGTAGGAGTAGCTGGAGGGCCTTCAGCCCTCATTAGAAAAACACTGAAGTCAGTAGAAAATGTAGCCAACATAGAAGGAGAAAGTCTCAAAATAGAACACGTTGTCAAAACATTGGGATGACAGTTTGAAGATGGAACAGCAGGGGTTAGGACTGTCTCAGTATCAAAAGGAGAAAGCACGTTCACATCTTTGGTCCAGTCATCCGGAGACTGGCCCCGGTTCTCATTCTTTTAAGAATAAAACTATATGCATAAAAAAAAACAAAAAAACATTGATAGAACATAATCTAGAATACGTTTTTGTTACTATATCTTTCACTTTGTTTTTAATTAAATTGAAAAACTCTTTTAATTGTTTTTATGATATGGGCAAATAATTATTCCTTTGCTGGGACTGCACACACAGTAGAGCTATGATTATGGATACAGATCCCACGGTTCTGCTTTAAAAAAAAGAACGTTTCCTTAAATTTGATTTTTTTTAAATGCAATAAATTGTAATATGTTGCCCCGCTTAAAGTAGCCCGTTGCATTTTATCCCAATGTATTATATTGTGACACCTATATCATTACAAAAATATTTACCAATTGAAGCTGTGTAACTCGAGCTGAGACAGATACTGCAGCTTGTTTCCAGTATTTCAGTGATAAATACAGGCCAAGGGAATGCAGCGTGTCAGCCATTAATTAGGATCTGGAACAGTTTGTTGTCAAATATTCCAACATAAATGCAGTACAAACCCCTGAAGATAATTTTTGACATGTCGGTATCTTTCTTTGAGCTTACAGCATAGCTATGTACCAGTGTAATGTTGAATCACATAATAACAATAACCTATACCTGATTACCGGAAATGCATTGAAGAGAAGGTCTGTAAGGCATGTACTATAACGAGTAACCGGCAGACACTGCTTTTTCTTTTGCTGTATAAATGAATCTCATGGGTCTAATACAAATGTCCTCTCCACACTAGAGTTGGGTACTCAATAATATAGGTGTATATTTTCTCCCACTGACGTGATGTGTGCAGGCCTTTTAAAGCTTACCTTCTGGGGAACATCTTTGATCATATCGTACATGTCCTTCACCATGGCCTCGGTGTAGGTCTTAGCAAAAAGTGGAGGTCCATAGAATACCTGTCGGAAACAATGCAATGTTAGCGAATCACAATCATTCTGACTAAAACCCAACTGTGGGTCTAAAGTAGAGCTTGCCATCCCATGAGGATGTAACAGCTGTTATACTGCTTTCTGACAAACAGAGTGGCAGCCTTGCTATCCTTTGCCTCTTTACACAGGTGGGCGAAATAATGTCACGCTTGGCCTGCGGGTGGCCTGAACGGAAAGACTTAACTACATCGCACTATACATACATTTCTTAAAACATTTATTTTATCAGCTTCTTACTATGAGTAAAAGGACTTTGGCTGTCTGAGGGGCAGGGGCATCAGAAATAAAAAGCATCAGCTGCATGCCAGGGGCTCCAGTACATAACGTTGAAAAAAATCAATTGATGGAATTGTGGAGTCATATTGATTTATCATCTCCTGAATTGTTCTCTCGTACCACTGGGATCATGACATTTTGATAATAGGTAATTGATAATTGTATAAATGATACCTGCTTTTAACCATCAGCATGTTAGCATCGTCATTGTTAGCCTGTTAGCATGCTGATGATCACAGCAGTGTTTGAAGCGTTGATACAGTACAGCCTTACGGCCCGTCTACACTACAGGCGTCAAAAAATGCTTTCAACGGTTCGCCCATTCATTTGAATGGGGTGACGTAGGATATTTACAAACTTCGCCGAACTACATTGTGGGTAGCATGGCAAGGCGTTGCAAGCATCGCGAGCGTCTATCGGCGTCAAAAGTTGAACAATGTTCAACTTTTGAGGCTCGATGTTTGCTCGAAGCTGGCGTCAGCCAATCAAATCCCGTTTTTGCAATTCCCGCCAGTACAAGCGCTAGCCAATCAAACCGCATGCAAGCTGGGAGAGCCAGACCGCAGTTCATTTCCTCATATTCCAAACGAGAAATTACGGTAGCAAATCACCCGGTTCTTTCCGACCAGAACTATTTACCGGGATACAAACCGGAGGAACCAGGCATGGAGGGAGGTGGCAGAGACAGTGGGTGAAACTGGTAGGTTTTCGCCTGTTTGGGGATTTTATATCCAGTTTACTTCGTTTTAACATTGCTATTGCTTGTATGTCGGGGGCGGGAGATTAATGTGATTGGTTGTTGGTCGCGTTGCTCGCAAAAAATCGCCAAGCTTCAGACACGCCCAGCTTCAAGATTTTTTTATGCCTGTAGTGTAGACGGGCTGTTACGGCCCCTACACACGGCGGCGTGCGTACGTATGCGTACGTATCACTAGGCTACCAGGTTGGGTGGAGGGGTCAGGAGGACGGGACTGAGCTGACCGCCCAGGGGCACAGCAGAGGACCAGGAAGGGATCTCGGGCGGACAGCCCGGGGGCAAGGCAGAGTTCAAAAAGGGTAATTCGGGCGGACGGCCCGGGGGCAAGGCAGATTTCAAAAAGGGGGATTCGGGCGGACGGCCTGGGGGCGAGGCAGAGTTCAATAAGGGGGATTCGGGCGGACGGCCTGAGGGCAAGGCAGAGTCTAAGGTGGGGGACTCGGGCGGCCGAGCATGAGGGCGAAGACCAGACAGCTCCGGAGGCCGGGCAGGAAAGCGCTGACGGGACAGCTCCGGAGGCCGGGCAGGACCCGGTGTCGGCCAGACAGGAACCGGAGCCGGTGGGACAGGCTTCGGCAGGATCCCCCACGGAAGAGGACCAGGAGTTGGCAGGACCCCCAGCGAGACATGTGATGTCGAGGCCTCCAACGAAACAGGACATGGGGTTGGCAGGACCCCCGGCAGGAGAGTAGTCGGCGGGGCCTCCAACGGCACAGGACATAGGATTGGCCGGACCCCCGGCAGGAGAGTAGACGGCGGGACCTCCAACGAGACAGGACAAAGGGTTGGCAGGACCGCCGGCAGGAGAGTAGTCGGCGGGGCCTCCAATGGGACAGGACACAGGGTTGGCAGGACCCCCGGCAGGAGAGTAGTCGGCGGGGCCTCCAACGGCACAGGACATAGGATTGGCAGGACCCCCGGCAGGAGAGTAGACGGCGGGACCTCCAACGAGACAGGACAAAGGGTTGGCAGGACCGCCGGCAGGAGAGTAGTCGGCGGGGCCTCCAATGGGACAGGACACAGGGTTGGCAGGACCCCCGGCAGGAGAGTAGTCGACGGGGCCTCCAACGGCACAGGACATAGGATTGGCAGGACCCCCGGCAGGAGAGTAGACGGTGGGACCTCCAACGAGACAGGACAAAGGGTTGGCAGGACCCCCGGCAGGAGAGTAGTCGGCGGAGCCTCCAACGGGACAGGACACAGGGGTGGCAGGACCCCCGGCAGGAGAGTAGTCGGCGGGGCCTCCAACGGCACAGGACACAGGGTCGGCAGGACCCCCGGCAGGAGAGTAGTCGGCGGGGCCTCCAATGGCACAGGACATAGGATTGGCAGGACCCCCGGCAGGAGAGTAGTCGGCGGGGCCTCCAACGGCACAGGACATAGGATTGGCAGGACCCCCGGCAGGAGAGTAGACGGCGGGACCTCCAACGAGACAGGACAAAGGGTTGGCAGGACCCCCGGCATGAGAGTAGTCGGCGGGACCCACAACGGGACAGGACATAGGGTTGGCAGGACCCCCGGCAGGAGAGTAGTCGGGGGACCCCCAACGGGACAGGACAAGGAGCTGGTAGGATCCCCAGCGGAACCTCCAATGGGACAGGACACAGGGTTGGCAGGACCCCCGGCAGGAGAGTAGTCGGCGGGGCCTCCAACGGCACAGGACATAGGATTGGCAGGACCCCCGGCAGGAGAGTAGACGGCGGACCTCCAACGAGACAGGACAAAGGGTTGGCAGGACCCCCGGCAGGAGAGTAGACGGCGGGACCTCCAACGGGACAGGACATAGGATTGGCAGGACCCCCGGCAGGAGAGTAGACGGTGGGACCTCCAACGAGACAGGACAAAGGGTTGGCAGGACCCCCGGCAGAAGAGTAGTCGGCGGGGCCTCCAACGGGACAGGACACAGGGGTGGCAGGACCCCCGGCAGGAGAGTAGTCGGTGGGGCCTCCAACGGCACAGGACACAGGGTCGGCAGGACCCCCGGCAGGAGAGTAGTCGGCGGGGCCTCCAACGGCACAGGACATAGGATTGGCAGGACCCCCGGCAGGAGAGTAGTCGGCGGGGCCTCCAACGGCACAGGATATAGGATTGGCAGGACCCCCGGCAGGAGAGTAGTCGGCGGGGCCTCCAACGGCACAGGACATAGGATTGGCAGGACCCCCGGCAGGAGAGTAGACGGCGGGACCTCCAACGAGACAGGACAAAGGGTTGGCAGGACCCCCGGCATGAGAGTAGTCGGCGGGACCCCCAACGGGACAGGACATAGGGTTGGCAGGACCCCCGGCAGGAGAGTAGTCGGGGGACCCCCAACGGGACAGGACAAGGAGCTGGCAGGATCCCCAGCGGAACCTCCAATGGGACAGGACACAGGGTTGGCAGGACCCCCGGCAGGAGAGTAGTCGGCGGGGCCTCCAACGGCACAGGACATAGGATTGGCAGGACCCCCGGCAGGAGAGTAGACGGCGGGACCTCCAACGAGACAGGACAAAGGGTTGGCAGGACCCCCGGCAGGAGAGTAGACGGCGGGACCTCCAACGGGACAGGACATAGGGTTGGCAGGACCCCCGGCAGGAGAGTAGTCGGGGGACCCCCAACGGGACAGGACAAGGAGCTGGCAGGATCCCCAGCGGAACCTCCAATGGGACAGGACACAGGGGTGGCAAGACCCCCAGCAGGAGAGTAGACGGCGGGACCTCCAACGAGACAGGACAAAGGGTTGGCAGGACCCCCGGCAGGAGAGTAGACGGCGGGACCTCCAACGGGACAGGACATAGGGTTGGCAGGACCCCCGGCAGGAGAGTAGTCGGCGGGGCCTCCAACGAGACAGGACAAGGAGCTGGCAGGACCCCCGGCAGGAGAGTAGACGGCGGGACCTCCAACGGGACAGTACAAAGGGTTGGCAGGACCCCCAGCGGAACCTCCAACGGTACTTGAGTAGGGACTTGAGTAGGGACTTGAGTGGGAACTCGAGAGAGGGCTTGAGAGGGAACTCGAGAGGTAACTCGAGAGGTGATTTGAGAGGGGACTCGAGAGAGAACTCAAGAGGTGACTGGAGAGGGGACTCGAGAGGGAACTCAAGAGGAGACTCGAGAGGAGACTCGAGAGATGACTTGAGAGGGATCTTGAGAGGGAACTTGAACGGAGACTTGAGAGGGCTCTCGAGATGGGACTCGAGAGGTAGCTCGAGAGGAGACTTGAGAGGGAACTGGAGAAGTGACTCGAGGTGGGACTAGAGGTGGGACGAGAGAAGGGACTAGAGAAGGGACTAGAGGAGGGACTAGAGAGGTGACTAAAGGGGGGACTGGAGAAGGGACTAGGGAAGTGACTAGAGGAGGGACTTGAGAAAGGACTTGAGAAAGGAATTGAGTAGGGACTAGAGAAGGGACTAGAGAAGGGACTTGAGATGGGACTAGAGTTGGTACTTGATAAGTGACTATGGCAGCTGGGGCCAGAGCTGAGTCTGGAACCATGGCTGCTGGGGCCAGAACTGAGTCTGGGACCATGGCTGCTGGGGCCAGAACTAGGTCTGGAACCATGGCTGCTGGGGCCAGAACTGGGTCTGGAATCATGGCTGCTTGGGCCAGAACTGGGGCCGGAACCATGACTGTTGGGGCCAGAACTGGGTCTGGAACCATGGCTGCTGGGGCCAGAACTGGGGCTGAAACCATGGCTGCTGGGGCCTGTACTGGGGCTGTAACCATGGCTGCTGGGGGCTGAACTGGTTCTGGAACCATGGCCTTTTGGGCTCGTGCTGCTAACCTGGCCTTGCGACTCCTCTTAGGAGCCGTTTGGAGGCTCCGTGGACCTCCAAAAGCCAGACGAGTACCAGCGAATGGCTCCTGGACTGTAGCAAACACTGGGTGAGAAGCAGGGGCTGACGCCAGACGGACCACACCGATGCGTGTGGTATCAAAAAGGGAATCTGGAGACCTGGGTCTATCAGGATCGGGAAAACAAACCGTGAGGTAATCCAAAAGCCAGGCCGGTAAGAATTTTACCAAATCTTGATTCCTCAGCGTAAGGTGGACTGCATCTGCCAGAGCAGCATCTCGCTGCTGAACCCTGACCGCTCCTATCCATCGATGAGCGCAGTCAGACAAAGAAAAGGTATAATCCACTAGTTCCTGCTCAAACGGATCTGCTGGGCCCATATCGTTGGTCGGTTCGTAATGTTACGGTGTGTGAAGCAGGCAGGACCCAAATGCAGATATAAACTGAAAAACTCCTTTATTTCAAGGCTAGGCGCAGATAAACAAAGACAGAATACTCACCGAATAACTAGTCATGAAACAAGACGAACCGACAAAGACAGAGAGAAAAACCAGAACTTAAATACACACAAGACTAATCACACAAACAAGACACAGGTGAGGAGGGAGGAGAAAACACAGGGACACCTGGTGAACACAATCGGGTAAATTAGACACACCAGGGAAACTAACGACAGGGAACCACAGACAGATTTAAACAAGACACAACGCAGACAGAAACAGGCAAGACAGGAGGTGAAGACCTTTCAAAATAAAACGAAAGACAGAAAAAGACAAGACAAAATACAATACAGACAGATCGTGACACTAGGACAACATCAGAAAGTTTTTAGTCGCTGCAGTTTGTGGAGTGGAATGTAACAACTACATATTACACAAAATAAAACATTTAACTACGTAGCCTACTTACTTTCTTGTAGAAGTACAAATGTCCAGGATGCCCAAATCAATAACAAAACTGCGAGCCTGCACGCACGACGCTACGCTTCGGAAACGCTTCTGGGACGCGTCCGGTGGGTTATGGCGCTAGAGGAGGTCGGACCAAAACCACGGCGCAGCCGTGACGCGGCGCAGCGCGGCGCAGACGGACCCGGTGGAAACTGGGGGTTACATGACCACAGTGCTAAACCATAGCTCTACTTATTATCTGGACCCACTGACCAACTGACCAATCCACGGTCCACCTGACCAGCTGACTGCCATCAATGGCTCCTCTCAAAAGCCTATGAAGTCATAAACAAGTACACCATGATTTTTAATGTAGGTTGAGAACATGTAATACCTTCCATCCAGGAGACAACGTCACATTAGGAAACTTTTCCTGAACCAACTGCAGAAAACTGGAAAAGAATGATGGAAGGAGAGGAGAAAAACGACTTTATTTAATAACCTTTTAATAAATAACCTAGCATATAGCATATTCGATCAATCAAAAACGTTATATATCTGTCAAGATATTGGTTTTTGTGTTTATAGTTTCCTTTTTTATTTTGACATGTATTTTCTCCTTGTATCTTGTCCTGTCTTACTTCCTGTGTTTTCCCTCCTGTTTGATTGTCTCACTGTGTCCACCTGCTGCCCCTGTGTCTCACCCCTCCCCAGCTGTGTCTTGTCTTGTGATTAGTCTTGTGTGTATTTAGTGTTATCTTCCCTATGGCGGTGGTGGCGAAGTCCATAGGGACTTGGCTTGTCAACTGGAAGGTCACCAGTTCAAGTCCCGGAAAGACCAAGTGCCACCGAAGTGTCCCTGAGCAAGGCACCACACTGCTCCCCGGGCGCCGTACATAATGGCAGCCCACTGCTCCTAACACTAGGATGGGTCAAATGCAGAGAAACCGTTTTGTTACATAATACCTGTACTACGTAATGACAATAAGTTGAATCTTCTTCTTCTATGTCGGTTTGGCGTTGGTTTTTATTGTTATCAGCTTTTTTGCCATCTCATTGGAACTGCACCCGGGTCCAACTTCTTGCTAAACCCTGACAATATCACCATTATTACAAAGTACAGAATGTAGCCTATACTGTACGTCTTACACCATTGAAGTGCTATAAGCATTATACAATACCAACATTGAGAAAATCCATAAAAACATATCTGAAAAAGATGGATCTATAAAGATTGTTGAAATTAGAGGATAAAGCCTGAAACCGAGCCAACGGGAGGGGCAGAGCTCTGATTTACTCTCAGATCACTTGAATAACAATATTCTGTTTTCGTCACAATTTGCCCAATGATGCCAAAAATAGGTTGTCTACCCCAGTTTTATAAAAAATGTTGCAGTTAATGTTGTATGTCACTTGTACCTTTTTCTTAAAATTCTATAATCATCCTATTATTTGCTGTGGCATATTCCACATCTCCCCAGATCGCTTATGAAAATCGAAAGATATCTTTGTTAGTGAGTATATCAAATGTAGCAATAATGTGTGAAATACATGTACAATACAAGCTCTGAACAGCAAAGACTGACGGACAGACAACATCAAATCAGCTTGTTCACCTGGTTCCATTGACTATAGGCAGGAAGGCTGGTGCGTTGGGACCCAGGAGGATGTCTGCATTCACCCATACGGGCCGGTTGATTCCTCTGCTACTGTTCTTTGACTTTTGACTGAGCAGGTCCAATGACAAACCCACTGATCTCAGAGTCTTAAAATCCAACTTCATGCCTGCAGGGACACAGAGCATTAACACCTGTGGGATGGACACATACTGTAAAGGCCCATGTGTTCTACTGAGTACCTTTTCTAGAGGCAAGCACTGCATCCATCCATTGGTCCAGAGTGTTGTCACTATAGATGTCAGGAGGGTGGGCCATGATGGGGATTGGATTCTCATTGGCTGTTCCATAACCCTCCAGAGTGATATCAGCCTCCAGGATCATAGCATCACCTGATAGGACGAGAGGAGGGGACAGTGTAGACAAATCATGTGTTAAATTGAGCATTATGTTGCTATGTAACAGTCTTCCTTCCGTTGGCTATCTGTCTGAAGTTAATTTAGCCTCAGGGGGCAAGGGCCAATATTTTGGGGTTTCAATGATAAGAAACAAGACTTCCTTTTGGATTGTTTGTAGTCGGATTAGCAAATTGAAATGCATAAATGGTGTAGAGACAAGAGATAACATTTCAATAATGGACAAGCTAATTTTGAACTAATAAAAAGCTTTATTGTTGTCAAACAATAGTCCATGGGTTCTAGGATTTCTTTTGGCCAATGTGTTCGGTCCAACTCACACCCAAACCATACATCACCTTGGTAACCACCTGTCAGTCACAAGGTAGTCAAATTTGCTGCCTGACACAAACAGGATTAGCCGATACTAATTGATTACAAATATAATCCATATCTTGTCCTGTAGGCTAACGCAGCGTCCACACGGCAGCGTGCGTTGAAGCTTGCCGGCTGGCGTGTCTGAAACTCGACCAACAACTAATCACCTGAATCTCCCGCCCCTGACACACAAGCACGTGGTTTGATTGGCTAGAGCTTGTACTGGCATATGATTTGATTGGCTGACGCTTCTGTCGAAGCTTCAAAAGTTGAACATTGCTCAACTTTTGAAGCGAGCAACGCGACCACAATGCAGTTCGGCAAAGCGTGACGTCACCCCATTCAAAGTGAACGGGCAGAAGCGTTGAAGCTTCAATGCACGCCGCCGTGTGGATGGGCCAGTGTATGGTACTGTATGCACTGAAAAAACTGAGTGTGTGAGTTTACTTGTGAGGGCTTTGTTCATGTCCTTCTTGCTGTTAGCTCTGTGGTACCAGGTAGCCATCAAGCCGTCAGGTGAGCTGATATCACCTGACTGAACCAGGAAGTCCAGCATGTCTCCACCAGTAGAAAACAAGCGAAGAGCAGTAGAGGAATCTGATTGGATATAAAGACAAACACAGGCCCTTAAACTTAACATCATTTATACAAAGAGGAGAAAAGGGGGGTTATGTATCCCTTCTTTTTGCTTAATGTTGTTTTAGGTGAGTGGGGGAGGGTCTTAAGTAATTGAACTTTGTCTATCCAGAGAGCACTTCAGTTCTTACTTTTGTCCCTTTGTCAAATTTCATCCAATTGAATTAAAAATGACTTCCGAACTGCAGATCAGAGGCCAAGATGTCCTGGCCTTGAGCTCCAAGCAGGGGTCAAGTTATACGACTGTGGATGCTACATTTCTGATTACCAGCCAATAGCATCTTTTGTCAGACCCTCACCTCAATTTATTTATGTTTTGATATAACTTGCTGCCACCTCTGCGTTATATGTTGGTATTACTGGCTGCCACTCGATTACACTGCTGTTGTAGAGATGACTGTGCGCTATAAACACTTTTTTAATTATTACATACTATTAATGTTATCACCTGTTGTTACCTCATATGTTCCCTTCATTTTTTATTTTTGTTCCGTGGATGTGTACTTATTTTATTTTCTGTATTAACGTCAGCTTGCCTCTCCATTTAATGTTACTTTTTAACTTTTGTCTACACTGTCCATTTGCTGTAAAATTCTATATGTGAATAAATGAATCTGATTCCTGGTATATCAATCTAATATAAATAAGGCTATAAATATAAGTTTGGTGCATTATGTCATTAATGTTCACAGCCTGTATATCAAAATAACTTTGACCGTCATAATCAAATAAAGCTTTATGGCATTATAAAGTCATTCTGAGCACACAGCTGCTGTTTGAGTTTGGGTCCTCACTACATCATCCTCCACACAATATAAAGTCATACAGTTTGAACACAGATATGGCCCCTCTCTGCTGTCATAATTCAGTCTCATTCTAATACTGCTACAATAGACCGTTGCATTTCCCAGCAGTTGTTTCCTATAAGGATTTACAGACACAGTTAATGAGAAAAACCTTCAAGATAAGGAAGGGTGATGCATTCACTTGAGAAAACAATGTTTTTCTGAATTGACAAGATTATTAGACACTTTATCAGACTATGATCCACAACTTAAATCTTTTAAGTATTTGTTATCTCTCACAAAATGTATTATTCTGTTTGTTTGCTTCTATGTTAATGTTGTGTTTTTATCTTGTTTTATAGCTGCTTGTCATTGAAAGTTACCAAATCATTATAGAGTAAATGACAAGTCCTCTTGGGACTTTGCGGCATATACATTCAGTAAAACCACAGCCAATATGTAATCTTTCCTAATAAAACAATTACAATAAGAATTATTAAATAAATATTCAGAAAAACAATAATATGTATATTCTCAATGGAATGCATTATGCTGCCACAGTAAGGAAACAATTACATGTCTCATAAGTGATTGTAAGTAAATACAACACATTACTTCACTATACGTATTTAAATAAGATGTGATCAGTACTGAAGGAAGTGTGAGATGATTAGGAATATTCTGGAGAATCTTCTTACAAACAACCAGGACTGGGTCAGACACACAGCACATTATTACTCTCACTACTACATGACTACATTAGGAATGATTGTGTCTAATGCTTGTACACGTTGATAAGCAACACGTCTGGGCTTTTGTGACTCAGACATGTTTTTCTGACTAAATGGCAGTATCAGATCTTATGAATCCTGGCCAAACTGCTGTTTGTACCTGACTTTGTGGCGAGCACAGCTGTGACAGTAATGATTATGATCAGGGGGACGAGTCCAGCAGCCACAGAGATCAGGATCAGCTGAGGTTTGTTCAGACAGCCCAGGTAAAGCTTGCTCTGTGGTTCTGCTGGCAGAGCTTGGTGGTACGGCATCATCCTGCAGCAACACAACAACAACAACTGATCACACACCTTCCTATGAAATCACACGTAGCATTCAAGAAGATATTTGATAGTATCCTCTTAAGTATTTTTACTGACTTTTCATGAACAGCCACTGACCTTTCCGGACTTTCCTCCGTGCCTCTGTCGCTCCTCTCCTCAGTTTCTCCCATTCTCTCCTGCTGCTCTTTACTGTGCTGGATTACAAATCTCCAGTGTTTGCAGAGAGCTGCATTACAACACATAGACAGATAAGCCTTATCTACCGAGCAGAGGTGTTCACACAGAGCAAGGTGCCGCGTTGCCCTGAAGGTCCCTACAGTTTAAAATCTGTCTTATATAAACACAACAACCCATAATATAAGGCAGCTCTCCCTTCCTGACGTTCTGTCATTTCTCGGAAGATTTCAATCTCTGCTTGCTTGATTATATGGGTCCATGACTTTTCAGGGATTTCATCAGGCCAATTTGAAAATATAGAAAATAAGTATGTATTGAAAGTTTCCCGACATAAAGAATGTTGTTGACACATACATTTATGTTGAAGTGTTTACATTTTCTAATGTTTTTTCCATGTTGATGTTTCAGCTCATTATTTTCAATAAAAATAAACTGCATCTTAATATCTTTAACTTTAACATATCTTTAACATTAAGTTGCCAGTAATCTTAGTGTTAAAAAGGTAAGTAAATGTGCATTTCTATTTTGTTGAAGTGATCTAAAATTTCTGTTTAATAATTTCAATGTATCGTTTCAAATGTTTCCTTTAAATCTCATAAATCTGAGAAATATGTTTAAATAAATACAATTCACTTATTATTATAGCATATATATCAGTGATTCATATTTCATCAAGAGAAATAAGATATATTTCTTCAAATGTATTGCAGTAAAATAAATATTTGGTCGCACCCATAGACTGTATATATAAAGGTCGCACCACATGATATTTTGACACTTTAACAAACAGAAGCCTATTTATGAATAGTGGTATTGAGAAATGTTTGTTTTTACATAAATATGAAAGGAAAAACATATAAATGGTATAATAATAACACTGTTTTTAACTAAATCAAATCCAGTTGGACAGAACATAAACAGGACACATAAAGAAGACCACCAGTAAACAGAACAATGAACATAAGCTTTGACACAGAACAAGAGCTGTTGTGTTGATCTGATGTTGGTGTGTGTGTGTGTGTGTGTGTGTGTGTGTGTGTGTGTGTGTGTGTGTGTGTGTGTGTGTGTGTGTGTGTGTGTGTGTGTGTGTGTGTGTGTGTGTGAAAAGTAAATGTATAAACTGCTAATACTAATATTGCCTTTGCCACCACCGAAAGTAATATTGCTAATGCTCCTTCCTCTACTGTATGTTTAGATGAAAGTGCTAGTGTGTATTACTAATGTTGGCAGTTAGGCAAAACAAGATAATAAAGCTAATGGAATCAGGATTGTATATTAGATGAAAGGTGTTGGGATGGAGAGGGGCTCTGTTGTTTTTAATGGATACACTGGCACAGGACAGGGGGGGGACTAGGACAATATATACACACAAGGTAAGGGGGCACAGGTGGAAACAATCAGGGCGAGGTAGACAATCAAAAATGCAGGAGACACACAGGGGCGGGGAGCACAGCGACCTGAAATGAGAGGGAGGATTACTTTTCAAAAATAAAACAGGAAGGAACAAGACAACAAAAGGACAGGACAAAAACTAATTTTAATTAAATTAAAACTGTGAGCAGCGATGAGCGGGTCTTCGACGATCCGTGCAGGTTGGCTGTTGTCCGCACGTCGACACGTCACCTAGGTGTCTCGAGGACTCGCCCGTTGGCAAACGTGGGCAGTTTAGGGCCGATCAGACAATGTCTACAGGAGTTACAGCAGTAACATAAAAATCTTGTTTAATGACAAGTGATATGTCGCCATGGCAACGCTATATGATGATACCCCATAATAAGCTTAGATATCATGAGGGCTGCATCGTTATCAAACATGTGAAGTGTTGGACCGTTAGCACAAAAGTGAAGTTTAAGCACTTTTTGACAATTTTCATATAGGAGTGACAGCGTTATCGTGTTTCATGGCGAGTAACATGTTGTCATGGCAACAGCGTTTTAACAAATCTCACAATTGTCATATAGACATGTTGAGGGCCAGACCATTAGCCATCATCTGAAGTCTGGTGCCATTTGGACAATTTTCCTAAGAGTTACGACCACATTGTGTTTTATGGCGAGGTCTGCGTTTCCATGGAAACGGCATATGATGAAACTTTAGATTTGGCGTAGAGCTGTTCAGGGCCGCAGTGTTAACCATCATGTGACGTTTGGCGGCTTTCTGACTATGTCAGTTGCAGTGGCGTTTTCTCCCGGAGGCCAAGGGAAGCCAGGCTTCCCCTGTTTTTTCGGATTGTAGTTATAATTTAAATAAATAAATAAAAACACTTTGTTTTGTTTCGATAATTCTCCTTTGCTGTGTGTTGCTGCCGGCCGTCTCTCCCCCATTCTCATTGAGTACTTTACAAAGAGTGAAACAGCGCCCCTCTAGATGTTATGGTGAAACAGTAGATTGCACTCTCTGTTGCGAGAGGAGGCCAGCCGAATCTGGCTTCCTTTGGTGAAAAAAAATGGAGGGATTGACCAATCAGATGAGGCCCACGTGATGCCCCTGCCAACCTGTGATTGGTCAGGGCCATGCCAAGGGAAGCCAGCCGCCTCTAGCTTCCCTTCAGGGGCGGCTGGCGGCTGGCGATTTGATTGGACACTGCCATCCAATCAAATCACATCAACATCAGTTTTAATACTGTAACTGTCATCACCGCCGTTAGAAATTATCAAGCAAATGAAGCATTATGGAGGGTGGAGATTTGGCGTACTTAATCAAACATAACTTTACTAAACTTCCGCTACAGCAGCAACTGAAAATTAAATCAGATGACAGGCCAATGCCCGCACTCGAGCTGTGTGTACACAGAGGAAAAAGGGAGAGAATCGGACGTTCAATGAGGACAATTATGTCCGCACAGAGTGGCTAACTGGAAGCGCTAAACTTCAGCGTCTATTTGGCTGGCCATGTCTTCTTTTTGACAAGGATTCGTGCTCCCTGAACAATCCTTGGGCAACTTCAGGATTCATCGACCTTGCCAACCTGTCACGGGCAATTGAGAGGCACGGTAAATCCAAAAATCACATAGATTGTGTGATTGTCTGCCTACATTAATAAGTAAAATGCTTAAATTAATAAGAAGAGAGTTTCAGCTGGAGAGTGCGTGCGGACCTGTCGGTTAGATAACAGGCGTGTGCAAGTCCTGCATCTGTGTGATACAAATGTGTGTCAAACGATACCGGGCGCTGTAATCACTCATATGGTTACGTTATTGACCGCCCCCCGACCCAAAAAATGGGCTTCCCCTACATTTTTCCCCACGCCACGCTACTGGTCAGTTGGAGTTATGACATCATCGTGTTCCATGGCGAGGGATTGCCTAGCATCGAGCGGACGTGAAAATGGGCTCCGCATAACGACTACACCGTGCAGTGAAAAATTACGATTTTGATACATTTTCATCCCCCATGTCTTGAGACGCTACCCGCCGAATTTGGAGTCGATCGGATCAAATCCCTAGAAGATCTCTGAAGTATGGAGGGCGAAATTCAAAATGGCCGACTTCCTGTACGTTTTTGTATACACCTCCAAGAGGCTATTTAACATGATATTAGATTTTAAAACATAAATATTTTTCTATTCATGTTTTTGTCAATTCGTAAAGTATCATTCAGCCTACTTTCAGCTACAGAAACCATATTTCTGTAAATAAGTTTATATATTTATGACTTCTCATTATGTTTATAAATTAACTACATTCCTGTTCATATTTCTATAGAGTTGCGAAGTTCCTCCCCTTCCGGTGGACCTCCATGGGACCTTATTTCGAAAAAAGTATGTATTGAAGTCAATGGAGAGAGAAAGATTATCTTTCGATCCCGTTTGAATTGTACAGAGCCCCCTAGGGGACATGGAGAAGAAAAAAAGATTATTTGAACAAAACAAAAAAAAAAGTTTTGCCAGATCTCGCAATACTTTTGCGATATCTCGCAAAACCCCGTTGCAGTTTGTAGACGGTCCCTAAGCACTCCTCTCCCTCCTCAAGCTGCAGATTTTGACCAATTCTTGATGTTTAGCTCGGATGACGGCGCATAGCTATGGGGTCAGTTCAGTCTCAAAAATAAATAAAGGCACACAAAAGGATACACGAATGTAATTCCAGATTTATATATAAATGTCTCCGTCCACACACATATTTTTCAATGCACACACACAAACTTATCATTTTATAAATGTAAAAAAGTTTCACAAATATATTTCTGATCCACACACAAATAGTTACATCAAAAACACATTTGAGTGTTGTTACATTTATATAAAAAACGCTTTCTGTGTGTGAATCTCTCTGCATTTGTGTGTGGATCTCTCTGCATTTGTGTGTGGATTTTTGAGACTCCCCTGACGCAGGTCACGCAGCTAGATTCACACACACACAGTAGGCTTGTTTGAGACAAGCGAGACCTGCGCAGTTGCGATCAACGTCTTGCTAGTGCGTTGCATGATGGTTAGTCATTTTGTCCGACTTGCTCTGGAGGCTCGCCTACATGAGACGTTGAAATCTCGCGGGACAAAGACGCCCGCAGCCTTGAGAGCGAGGCGCGGCGAGGCGGCGCAGTTGCTCTCCACGGGCTGGGGAAGCGAAATGCTTGATGGGAAACGACTCGCTGTATCTCGAGCTGAGCGCTCATTGGTGGTTTTTACCACGTGCTGGTGATGAAACTCTCCAATTGGCTGGCAAAATGTTGTTGTTGTTTTGTGTCAGTTTTACGTCGCCACATCCATTCCCATTTTTCATCATTGTTCCACAATATTTATCATCATGAAATTAATATCCATATATGTTATACTATACTTGCACTGCTTACCGTTTTCATACGTTATATATCTTAGCATATTCATACACACTGTTCATACTGCTCTCAGGCTGCTGTGTATATCTAGTGTATTCATACCCCTCACTGTTTATTCATCATTCAATTCATTCTATATTTTATTCTGTAGATTGTGTACATTACTTTTCACTTTACTGCTTGTTGCACTCCTGGTTGGAAGCTAAACTGCATTTCGTTGTCTCAGTACCTGTAATATGTGCAATAACAATAAAGTTGAATCTAATCTTGAGCAGGAACAAATGTATTTACTTAGTACATATCTGACATTAACGATTAAACACATGTGTGCATTCTTTATAAATGCAAACCGAGTCAAGCCGACTCCGGAGGTGGCGGTATGCACCTTAAAGTTGTTTGCAATCCGCCAAATAACCGAGAGAAGAAGAAGAAGGCGAAGAAGAAGAAGAAGAAGACGAAGCCGACTCCGAGCTGTCCGACTTCAGGCGAGCTTTTTGAGACCTCCCCTGGCTGCGATCGGCTATTCTCGTCTACTTTCGAGGCGAGCCGCAACGCGTCTCAAACAAGCCTACTTTTTTTAAGAGGCGACTGTCTTCGGCCAATCAGATGTCTGCTTAATTTTAAGCCAATCACATGCGTGTGCCCCCATGAGGGTGTGCCTAATGCGTTTCCAACGTAGTAGGCTTGTTTGAGACGCGTTGCGGTGTCAGTACCAGATATGTTCGGCCTACCAGATATGTTCGGGTGTATTTCCGTCGCATCCGTCATCCGTCATATCCGTCATATACTCACCTCCCTCTGCTCCCAGCGCTCTGCTGCCACACACCGGCCGTCTGCGGAACTGCAGCCGGAGGAACTCGGTACAGCTTGTTATGTGTGAACGATCTAGATCCCTCCGCTTCCCCATAATTACCGCGACCATTTTAACTTTCATGACAGAAATGGAGAGCTTTTATGCTGAGATAAAGCAGTACGTGCTCAATGGTGGTTACCACAATCTCACCATCGCCGCTGAAAAGCATGATAAAAGGAAGGCGTTAATTCGGAGGGCATCCAAACAATACCTGATCAAAGGTAAGTAACAGAATAAGACCATGGTTAAGTCACGAACATACGTTTTTATTATGAGGTATAAACCCCCTGTACATGTGACATCATCACATCCCTTTACTTATAGGGATCAATAAAGTATATATCTATCTATCTATTTATCTAATGGTGTTTTTTGGTGCAAAAGTGATCATACCTCTAATGGTTTATCATATTGCAATTCCAACATTTTTCAGTAAATCGCAAGGACTCCACAGCTTGTTTCTCCTTTTTCTTTTTATACACACTTTACATTACTGTAGTTATGTCTAAACCACATTTGCCACTGGATTTCTTGAACAGCTTTTAGTCATAATGTCATCTCTACACATGTCTAAATGATTGTTTTGTTGTTCCTGTTGTGCCAGCTGGAGATTTGTACTACACATACAAGGACAATGAGAGGATGGTTGTGTGCACCAAGGACCAAATTATCAATGTCCTGAAGGAGTGCCATGATAACCTGGGTTCCGGAGGTCATGTAGGGAGAAGGCGCACCACCGAGAAGGTTTTGGCAACGTACCACTGGTCCACTATGCGGGAGGACGTGAAGAAATGGGTGGGAGATTTTGACTGACTGACTGATTATTGATCTACAGAAATGTGTTGTATGTGTACATTGAAACAGAGTGAGACAGTTTGAGCTCCATCAGAGCAGAGAAAACATATTTCAGAACTTTAACAGTTTAATTCTGTCTCCTCTGAAAGTTTTCTCTGTTCTATCATTTTTATACCTAAAGTTTTTTGTTTTGCTGATTGAAAATGTATGATATTTGCTAAGGTTGATGAGTGTCCCCGCTGCCAGCAACACGAGGTCATTAAAACGGTTGCACCCGTACTGCATCCCATTCATGTTCCCGAGGCATGGACTGTCCTTGGTGTGGATCTCATTGGCCCACTTCCCTCCACTGCTAAGGGCAAAAGGTACTATCATGATGGGCTGAAGCATGTGTAACCTCCTTTAAAGGTTCTAAACGTGAATAATCTGGTTTCAAAAGAAAGGAAATCATTTACAGTGATTCTGTATGTATTTACAACATTCTGCATTTTATATTGCAGATACATTCTAACAGCGACTGATCTGTTCACAAAGTGGGTGGTAGCAAAAACGCTCTACCACAAAACAGCTGTTGAGGTCTCAAAAAAGATTGTAAATATTCTTCTCGATTTCGGTCTTGTCGAGAAGATCATTACCGACCAAGGACGGGAATTTGTCAATGAGGTACAATAATCTATCTAATACAGTGTATGTGTTATGTGTAACAATGTAATACGATTTTTCAG